ATAATTCTTGAGAACCAAAAAGTGGAGCTGGATAATGTTTTCACAAACTGAATTAAAGTAAATGGGACAAGTAGGTGAAACAAATTAAAATTCAGATTACCATATTACAGGGATAGTACATAAGTAACCTTTGGGATATTATTTTACTGTTCTACATAACTTAGTGTTAAGATTTTGATTGAACTTCGTTATGTTCACATTTTTAAAACCTTTGTAGTATAAATTAAACTTCACTTTATTTACAGATTGGCCACTGTGGCATTTAAAAATTATCTTGTATTTAGCTGTAGGACTAAATTACTCTAACTTGATAGTTGTAAACATTTTTAAATAAAATATGTCCTTAATGACTATTTTATTTCCAAGTAATTTACTTAGATTTTACATATAAAATGAAATTTAAATTTTAATGTTTGTTGTCACCAAACTTGTATTGTGGGGCATGGCTTTGTTTGCTGTTGAACACAGTTCTTTGTGAGGTAATATGTTCTGAAAGGTTTTTAGTGTGAATAGCTTACAAGTTTACTAATAATGATTATTGTGTGTAAGACAGTAATCAATTTCACTTTCATTAAATATGTTTGATATTAACAACCACCTTCTAATGGTGGCAGAATAGGTATTTTTATCAGTTCTCTTTTACTCATGATGAATCTGAGATCAGAGAAGTCAAGAGTTTCATATACTCTTATGTTCAAGCAAGTGTCAGATGAAGGATTGGAACCTAGGTTTCTTTATCTAAATTTATCAGCCCACCAAGCAACTGCTTTCCTTTCTTCAATATTGGGCAATATTAGTTACCTCTTCTTGTTTTCGTCCTTGTGCTACTGTTTTGTTTTGTTTGGGGGACTCAAACAGAAATAGTGTTCATGCCCTCATGAACCTTAGAACTTTTTGTAAAGTTGTATTTTTAATTTAAGAGGTTTTGGCTTCATAAAGATGAGTTTGAGGACTTAAGGGAAAGGATCATTTGCTGAAGATCTGGGCATGTAGGCACACCCTGTAATCCAGCACTCAGAAGGGCTGAATCAGGTAGATTGCTCACAGTTTGAGGCCAGCCTGGGATAGATGCAAAGTGAGACCCTGTCTCACATACAAAAAAAGTAAAAATGGAGCTCCTTATTTTACCACTTATGGCACAAATAGTTAAGGGCTTGTTATTTATGAAATCCCTGGCAAAGTGTTAGCAGGATATATTGATGTCCTGGGAGTTGACCCTTTACCAAATATGTAGGAAAGTTGATGAATCTTTTTGATTAATATTTTCTGTAGTTGTCTTGTTAATTTCTGTTGATTTATAGGCTTCAGCAATGTGTTAATCATAGAAACTGGAATTGTTTGTAGTGCAATTTGAGGCCTTTCTAAAATATGTTATTAAATAACTTGGTTATGATTTTTCAGTATGTTGATTGGGAACAGCTTCATTATGGCTTTATATGGGCTTCTTTTGGGGGGAAAGGAGTTTTAAGTTGGTTAACCATTTATGCTTGACAGTTATTGGAGTATCATCATATCAAGAGTACTTACTGTCAGTGTGATGTATTGTGACATTGTTGACCTTGATCTTAATACTGTTTGTCAGGTTTCTCCACTTTTAAATAAAGTTACTGTTTTTGTCTTCCTATGCATATTGGGAGGAAAAGTCATTATGAGTAACCCACAGTTAAGGGTGTTGTGCTTTACCTCCTTCAAGACAATAAAGTACTTAGTATTCTTTTAAACGAGAGCTTTGTTTCTTCTCCATTATAAATTTATTCAGTTGTTTATAGTAAATACAGTGGACCCTCGACTTATGAACTCCATTGGTTCCCGAGGGCTAGTTGTAACTCAGATTGATTGTAAGTCAATACAGCTGAGATCTGAATGTTTACCTGAATACCTGCGATACACAGATGAACCTTCCATTAACCTAATTAAACCAAGTTGTTCATATATCAGGCCTGTCATAACTTGAGGGTCCACAATATAAATGCTTTAGGTTATAAGTCAATATTACTGTATCAGTTTGTTACTCAAATTTTTCCAGAGTTGGCCAGTGGGAACTCTTTCAGTATAATCTTAATTACCTTTGACACTCTTCATTTTTTTTTTTTAATTTTCCTTACTTTCTTAATCTACAAGATGTTTCCGTCTCAGCTTGTACATTTTCTACCACTGTCCTAGAACCAGCTGTTTCTCTAAGAAACTGGTTCCTTTCATTGCAGCGTATTAGATACCAAGATCTTGGTGCTAAGGTATGCTTGTTAAAATACTGGGGTATTTTAAAGCATTGGCTTACAGAGCAAAGAAATACCTGCATATACTAATCTATTTGTCCATATACCCATATCTATAAACATTTGTATTTATAACCGTCTTTAGCTTTAGCTAAAGTCAATTCTTAATGAAGTGTCTAACTTCATCACTCTATTGACTGTTATAATCTCTCTGTTTATTTCTAATTTCCTCTCCAACAGCGAGATACCTAATTCCCATCAGCTGCCATCAATTTATTTAATTACTCTTTCCATTATACATTTATAGTGTCAGAGTTGTTAACCTAGATTTCTATTGGAAAAACATTTTATCAACTAGAGTTCAGTACTTGTTTATGTCCTTGGCCTCATCTCAGAGGCTTCTCTTTTCCAAAGTTACATAGGTTAACACCTATTCTGTGCTTTTCCGTTAATAAAATTTGTTGTATGAATGAGATTTTCTCATAGAATGTATTCTGTTCTCTTTGTTTCCAGCACTACCTGGACTACTTTTCATTGCTGCTTCTCCCTGAAATACTCTGATCCACCCACCTGCCTTGTTTCTCTCATTCTACAAAGCAGTCTCACTCTTCCTCTCATCCTCTTCCTCTCTGCCTCTCTTTTTCTGCACTGCAGATTGAACCCAGAGCCTTCTCACTGAGCTACATCCCCAGCCCTTTTTGTTTTTTATTTTGAGACAGTCTCAGTAAGTTGCCCAGACTGGACTCAAAGTTGAGTTCCTACCTCAGCCTCCCAAAAGGCTGGGTTTACACAGGTGTGCCATCATGCCTGGGTGCCTGGGTGTCCTATCTCTCCCTCCCTCCCCTCCCTCCCTCCCTCTCTC